CTCGTTACTACTACTCTACTTCTACTCTACTACTACTACGTACTACTTACTACTCTCTACTACTACTCTACTCTACTACTCTCTACTCTACTCTACTCTCTACTCTACTACTCTCTCTCTCTCTCTCTCTCTCTCTCTCTCTCTCTCTCTCTCTCTCTCTCTCTCTCTCTCTCTCGCTCTTTAACAGTCGAACCCATCTCTCTCTCTAGTACGCACATAAACATGTCACATTATTTGTAACTGTCCACTCAGGCAGTCGTAAAGGCCTCCCTTCTCAAGATTTCATAAGCATTCAAATTTCATCAATTGCACAAGACTGACTAAATTTTATTAGTCTTAGGAAAAAATTATTTGGGAAGAGGAAATTTGTGGAAATAGACCACTAACAATTTCAAAAAATGGGTAGGGGCTCGTCATCCCCACTGAATTACCCAAAAAAAACAGAAAAAAAAAAGAAAAAGAAAAAAGAAAAAGAACTTCTCCAAAGACAACAAAAAACAAATAAAACAAATAGAAGATTAGACAGAACCTCACATATCTAAAGTAGATGCATATCATATAAAAGAAAAGCCATAAAATTGTACGTTCCCACGGAGCAAATCTTACACTTGCTTGCAAACCCTTAGCTATGATTTTTAGGACTCCAAATTTTGGGCATCTAATCTATTCAACCTTAAAAAAATGAAAAAAGAATGCACTGTAGAATTGCCTGGAAAATTCCTCCTATGCGAGTGTTTTGCCCTAGAGAGCAAGTGTATAGTATGCTCTTGCGGGAGCATGCTATACGACCTCAAAAGAAAAACAATATAGCGCTCATGATTTGCTTCATATGAGTCATGGCAGCCCTCAGATGATACATTTTCAGTTGAACCAATCATCTTATGCTACATAATCAATCTCAAATATATTTGTAAGATCCATCCTTAGCATGTTGAAATTAGAAAGGTTATGCTAAGTAGACACCAAATCTTAACTTCATATTCCTTTGTGTGACAGTATTGCTTTTCCTTTTTAATGCATAATTTGCACAAATAGAATTAGATACAATGTTTTTGCCTAATTTCTATAGGAAAAACCTTCACCTTAAGCTCTTATAGATTCTATTCAAAACATTTACAATCTCCATAACAATAGCACATGGGCTTTGCAATATCTGCTATGAAGCAATGGAGAATTCTGAAAACCAAGAGTAACTTACAGGAACAGAAACAGCAGGAAGCCCAAGAAGATTTCCAGCAATTATGAAACGCATGAGATAACCTACGAGCAGCAACCCAAACGCAACACCCAGAAAAGGGATTAGCCCTTCTGATGATCTACAGTCCTTACCAAACTAAATCAAAGGATTTTCAAATATTTATCAATGTAGGTTTGAAGCATCTTGCGCAAAGAAATCGAACTCATCATATATTTCAGAATTATGTTCTATGGAATACAAAACCATTCAAAAACAACAGACAAGGCATTTTAATCAAATAATTCTTGTGTCATTCAAGAAAACAGGTTCTTTTGGAACCATAAGTACAGCCAATTTCAGAAAATACTAATAAAACAAATTATATCAATGATGTGCACTCCACACCAAAATAGGGCCAAAGATTTTCATATATTTATCAATAAAAGGTTTCAACAATCTTATGAAAAGAAATGAACACATCACATACTTCAAAATTATATTTTATGGAATACCCAACAATCCCACCAGAATGGAGAGGGTAAGCAAATTTCATCAATTTATTGCATCATTCAAGAAAACAAGTTTCAAATCAAAGAACTGTAAGTAAAACCAATTTCAGAAAATAATATGAGTTTACCGTTGGTCTGCATATCCGTTTCCCCCATCGTGAGTGCACTTGGAGGTATAATTGGTGCTGTAGTACTGGGTTCAAAACAAAAGACCAATATGTCATTCTACTTTTGTTACCATTTTGAGTATGCTATACAAGAGAATTTGTATACCCGAAAGTTCAACATTAGAGGGGTCATGTCTGACATGCTATAAACAACCTAAATAAATGGCCAAAGAAGTTGATGCATAAGACACTGCTTCCTTCCATGAATTTTACTCTAGAATAAAGAAAGCACGTAAAAGAGTCCCTCATAATGCCGAAAAAAATCAAAAGAAATAATCTTGTTCTCAAACAGAAACCCACAACATCACAGAATGGTCTGGAAACATTCTTGCTGCGAAAATAAAGGCAACAAAAGATCTGTTCATTACCCAGTTGTAGGAGTCACTATGATATCGACCTTTTTGAACGCTTCCATGTGATAATGCATAATTCGTCTCCTGCATGAAAATCGGGACAAATTTACTAAAAAGTGAAAAGAACTGCAGTCATGAGTCATGACTAATGCAAGACATCATGGTCTGACAAAATTAAGAAGAGAAAACTAATGACACACTGAGGAAACAGGTCATTAAGTAACCATAGAAGAACATTCCATAAATATCAAATGAAAAAAAGTAATAAACACATAGTGCCCTGTGAGTTTGTAAGACTTTTAATTAAGTGGAAAGTTTGTGAAAAAATAGAAGTCCACAACAACACCCTAGTTTCATTAAAAAGAACCTTCTAACTCCTAAGCATATGCCCTCTGATGCAAGTGCTATGTGTAACTTTCAAAAACAAACAAAATGTCAATGCCAATTATAGGGAAATAAATTAGTAGCTAAAAAAGATGTGTGCTCTCTAGAAGAAAATTCCATTAAAAAAAATTTACTGGCACTCGGTCCCACCTTAGGCACTGAGCGGCAACATAGTCTGCTGCAGAGAATGATCGAAACAGTGCCAAATTAGTGCGGGTCTCAAGTGAAAGTTTACCCCGCTTCCTGTAAAGTAGATTTCCAATATGAATTCTTCTCATAGCTATAGATATGACGACAAAGTGCAACTTTTTACTGCCTCTATTCCTCAAAAAAAAAGAAGGAATAACTAAAGAGGATTCACATACCCATCCTCATAGTCAGGATTTAAAGAACATGCTGATTCTGAACCAATTGAAACAAGATGAGCAGCACGCATCTCAGGCAGCTCAGGCAATATAATCTCTATAGTCTTAAGTCATGACAAATCCATAGATTAATGTCCTATAATTGACACAGTTTACTCCCCAACCATGATATTTATTTTTACTTGCTTCTAGGAAAAGAATCCTCTGGAGTGTTATTCAATGAAAATAAAAGCTTCCCTTTCATCTGAAGACTTACTTGGCATCCATAACTCTTGGAGAGTTCATGAAGAACATCATCACACTTATTAGAAATATCAGTTGAGTTAACATCATTGAACCACTGTAGCGTATAACCAAGGAATCCCTCTCAATACATTTGAAATTCAATGAAAATTATATCGTAAGTTGTGCTAGAAAACTGAAATTTGCACCTCAGAATACTTTCCCAATCTCAATGATCCCAATGCATCACGATCATCAGGTGGTGACAAGTGTGGCAAACAGGGTGACAGCTGAAAAGGAGAAAATAAAAGCAAGAAATACAAATCTTAATTCAAATATGGTGCTTTACAATCAACTGATAAGGGAACTCACAAACATACGAACACACAGACATACAAAAACATCAGATCATGTGAGATTAACGTATTATAAAACTATCCCAATTATAAGAACCAAGCATAAGTCCCCAAAAAAGTATCACAAACAAATATCCACAAAAAGCATCAAATGAAACATAGTTTCAATTTTTTTCACTACTACACGTTTGGTTTTTTCGTTTTTAATCATCTCTGATATCATGTTAGAGAAAGGAACTCACTTGGAGGGGAGAGGATTCTTAATGAAAATTAAAACAAAATACTTTCTAAATACTCTGATAAAAGAAGTAAAGAGAACAAAGGAGAAGGAATGACAAGAAGGATGCAATTAATTTAAATATCCTTAAGACATGAGAATACAATAAAATATGCTTTTAAAATTGTAAATGACTTGCAAAACAATAATCAAGGATATCATAGAATTCAGTAGCCGAATGTGTAAAACTAAGATGAAGTCCATGCTTCCATGATTGTTGTTTTTTCTAGAGCACCCATTCAAAACTTTAACTTCTTCTAGTGTCCAGTCATGTCAATGACTTGATGGTTAAACTCATGTTGTACAGTTAAAGAAGAGATGGGCGTTGTGAATCACGATTGCTGCATGCACACCATCTTATACCAGATATAGGACAATCTTGTGAACGAATAATTGGCAATAGGACATGCATGCTAGTGAAGGTCAAACATGTTCCTTAGTTGCATCATTTGATTAGATTAAGATAATCACCGGCTTCAAGCTGATCTGATCAGCTCCAGAAGATCCCAATATTGCAGCATATCTGAACGATCATTACAATATCAGCACTGCATGTCAATAGGTCGACTAAGCACGTCCATCAAAACAAAAAAGGGATGAAGAATCCAGTTAGTAAATATAACATATATCCAGATTGCCATAATTCGAACCATTATACATGATGATATTTAGACTACTTCATACTTGCTTTATGAATAAGCAGCTCATGAACAATCCAGGAAAGAAATTTCATAAATCAATATGTTGGAAGCTCTTAATGAGTTCACCAAAATGCAGTAAAAAGTTTATAAAATAAATATCTTGTCTACTTCTTTTACATGGTTAACTAATGTCTTATCAAGGTTATTAGCATGCATTATAGAATTCAACTCCATGAACCAAAATAATCAGAAAAAAATTTGAGAAGCGTCAGAATGAAACATACGGTAAACAATTCAAACACCAGATAAGAAGCAAACACCAGAGAAGTCTTCTCTGTCAAAGAAAAGCTTGAAGATTAGAAAAATTTTCGTAAGTTAACTGAGGAGAGTTCTGTAAGCCATTGTTTTCCATGATTACAGGCATTTGGGACAAAGAAACTAGATGAGACAAGAATTACGAATTACTGTCCCTTACCCAAGCAACAATAACATCTGAACATGTTACAAATATTCCCTAGTTAAGAAATATGATAGACAAAAGAATATGGACCTCTGGCTAAATGAACTTCATGCTTGTTTTTCAACACTTACGCTGATATCTGGTCAAGGTTTTGGCATAGATATTGGTTCAGATAACTTGAAGATAAAACAATGAACATTTTGGTCGATACATCTTTTTCATGAATATAGTCCAAATGTGAAATTGATTTGTGCATCAAACACTTGATGGGTTCCTAACTAAACAACACTGAAATCATTATTTTATCATCAACAGCACTGTAGTCATTGAAAACTGCTAGGTGATAAGTATGTGTTATGCTAATATGTTTTAAGAACTCCGTATTTTTTAAACCAATTCAATGAATCAGAATCAGTTTTCACAAGCAACATACGTACATGAACTGCACAAATCATTGTCTGCCGTAATTTAAAACCATGATATTGACATTAATTTATATGCAGTAAATTCTTACACAAGCATGGCATCCTCAACCGTAGCTGCAATCGTTCCAATAATTTCAACAGACCCAGAATCACATAAGGCACTGCAAGAATAACAACAGAATTGTTCAATCTTAAAAGTGAACAATACAATACTGCTGTTTGTATCACTGTTTTATCCTTCTGCAATAAATATTAAAAAGGTCGATGAATAAGATAATGCTTTAATGTGGACTATGTTCTCCAGGTATGTTATTTTCCATAGATTCCGCTCATTTGAACAGTATGCAGAACTGTTATGGCAGTATGTTTGACTTCTGATTATCGTCATCAATCACAGAATAGGCAACTTTAGAAATAGTTTTATTTTTTCCATTATTAATAAGCCAGATGGATCATTTCGAGTCAAATCATTCCTACATTTTGCTCATCTCAATAAGTCCACTGTTTGCTCATTAATGCGCTCAAACAGATTCTATTTTCAAATGGAAGCAATACATTCAGAAATGGTTTGACGCATTTGTCTTTGAGTAAATGATCTTTTTTCTTTCAAATAAAGTGATGATGGAGTATTGACAATGAGCAACTGTACAAATAGTTACCCTTTCATGTCAGTCCTGCCATATGTCGTTTTCAAGCCCACGACACCACAAAGCGAAGATGGAATTCTTATTGAACCTGTGCTCCCATTTATTAATGAATGGACAAACCATCTATGGCTGAAAAAATAAAGCATGATTAGAAGGATCCTGTATGTATACCTCCACCATCAGTTCCAAGAGCAGCAGGGCACAACCCAGATGACACAATTGCTGCAGGAGCTGAGGAAGATCCACCTGTGTACCTTTCAGTTGAATGCGGGTTCCTTGCCGTCCTGCCAAGAACGACATTGTCAGTGGTTAATCATTGTCTCCAAACTTATCTTTCACAAAGCCACGCAAAAACAATTAGCCGTTTGCATGAAACCAAGAAATAATATAGATGTAAATCCATATGTGGCTTAATGATATTGAATACAGTTAAGAAGAATATTTTGAATGAGTCCAGTTGGTTTGTAAAGAGCAGTTTCGAAAGCACATTATTCTGCTAAAACTATAAGAAGTATGAGTTATCCAGCACTACAGATCATAAGATACGTGAAGAATCTATTAACACCAAGCAAGAAATTTAGGGAGTTAATAAAATATCTCTAAATAAAATAAAAGGAGATCAACTTTTGAACAAGTCGACACCCGGTATTTGGAAGGACATAAAACCACACTGTACAGAAACAAGCAAATAGAGAACAAAATTTCAGAGCATAAAATGTAAGAACTCAGATATTTGGCAACATTCACAAACTAGATCGCTTTCACATGCTAAACAAAACATCACACTTGAACTCGATAAATAACTTTGTATAATACCTGCAAGCTCACATTCACCAGAATGCCGACTTCTGTGGTGATGCCATGCATGAATTAAATGAAAAAACATGAGCAAAAAAAGGAAGTTCTGGCTAGAATTACTTTTTGTTTTAACGAAATGATCAAATACATAAATACAAAAAATACATTACAAGAAACAAAGTGGACATACAAAAGGGGAAAAAAAAATGCTATAGCAGAACAAAGATGATAATAAGAAAACAAGGAGCTGCTAAGAAGTTCGAAGAGACCCTGTTCACATACTTGAGAAAGAACGTCATCGCTTATCAACATCAAGATACAACTCTAAGGAAAAGTACTCCTTCACCAAGATTCTTCTCTAGACTTCATTACTCCTCTCTCTTCTCTAGTTCTATCATCTTCTTTCGTTGGTTGGCTAAGTAAATCAAAATGATAAATGAACAATCCATCCTATTGATTAATTTATGACTTATCATGCTTCCTCCCCCAAGTTGACAATCCATCCATGACCCTTCAATGACTACGCAGAGCCCAATAGCTATACAGAAGATATAGCCTATCCTCACTAGAAAATGAAATTGTAACTCCCAAGAGAATCTGAACCAAGACTTGGGGCAATCACCCAAAGGAAGAAATGCAGTTGGCAATAGATCTCATTGGGGATATGCATGTAACTCCTTACCCAAAATATGCTGTCAAGAACTCTTTGATCTAGGATGTTCATAAATCTCAACAAATAATATATGGACCTGATACCATGTCAGATTGATGCATTCTTCACATGACAAGATGAACCACATTCCTTAATGACACGAGGAAAAAGGCCCAAGTATATATCTCGGTTGATATATCACAAAAGGACTAAACAGCCTTTAAGCAAAATAAAAAAATCTCCAGCACAAAAAGTACTTAAATGCACTTTCCAATATAGGAATGATAGATAAATGAAAGCGCAGAATAATGGACAATGCTGCCCATCAAGATAACTATGTATTTCCGTAAACATCATGCATAAACTTCCCAAGGTATTTATTAATAGGCACAATGACACAACATAAGATTCTAGAAAATGTTATCATCAATCAACACTCAAAGACTATACTCAAGAGTCATGGCTACTGTGGGTCAACAATACAAGGAAAACCAGATGCGATAACATATGCGCATCAGCGTACAAATTCTCCTCTTGCAAATGGCTACTGTGGTTCTACAATACAAGGAAAACCAGACGCGATAAATATGCGCATCAGCGAACAAATTCTCCTCTTGCAAATTAAATATGACCCAATTTCTCTTACCCATAATGCGGATTATTTCCGGTTGTTCCAAGCCCCAACTCATGCATGTTGGTCTTTCCCACTAGTATCACTCCACAACTGCGTAACTTTGAAACACAAGCTGCATCTTCATTTACCTGACGAACGTTGTGAAACCAAGTTGTTGCACCTACAAACAAAGATCCCGATCTTATCCATATTAAAAAGAGCGTACTTGGATCACTAAGACTCAGAGCTCACAAGAGAACAGTTAGAATCTCACTTAGATGCAGGGTACTTGGTAAGTATCCAATGCAAGTCGACTTGGGCAAGCCCCAAGTCAACTCACCGACTTTGAATCCAACTTTGATTCAGTGGACTTAGCATGTGTCCAAGGCAAGTCGACTTGGACGAGTCCCAGGTCAACTTGCCAAGTTTTAAATCGGTGGTCTTATCAAAACTAGTCGCATGAACTAAAAAATGCACACAGACGACCTTTTTGCATGGAAACTCACCCTTGCTAGGGTGGGGATAACAATCTATATCGTCCTTGATTGGCATGAAGATTCCATCCAATATAGACAGTGGGTTACCTAAATCCAACAATCAAATAACATAATGATCTAAATAAAAGTAAGCTGCAAAGTAATCCAAAAATCCAGAGCACAAAGGCATTTCATGTAAGTGTACCGTCTTCAAACCTCCGTGTGGAAGCTGCAGCTTGCTTCCTCACATCATAAGCATCAAAAGATATCAACAATGGCGATGGAGGCTTCTTTTGATTGGACTCCTCTATGGCTAAGATGATGCGCTCTGCAACCTGGAGATCTACTTCTTTTTTACAATCAAAGCTTCGCTATCCATGGCAATTACATATAGAAAAGTATACTGTGACCCATATGACCACAGCGACAGTGTGGTCAAATAGGTCATCACCATCTTGGTTGGGCGATGGAGGGAGACTGAGACATACACATGAAACAATGACGTATTTATTGGGATCAATCTACCTTCATCACTGCCAAACCCATTGATGGATGGTGGTGACACACATGACCATGCAATTACCTTGATCATATGGTATTAGTGTACTTTCCCATGACATATTTGCAAGGACTTACCATTGATGGAGTAATGCCTCTAGACCGATAGGCATGTGCATAATCACGAATTGTCCAATACAAGAATGAACAGGAAAAGTCCTCACTCCAGTGAAGAGATGGATTATAGGGTGGGAGGCAATTCAAGGCCAGCTCAACACGTTGAATTGCTGAACCATCTTCATTTATAAAAAGGACACTAGTTTCTGGATCTATGCATTCATCACAATCAAGCAATAAGTAATGTATCTCATTTCTATACAATAATTTTTAAAAAGCATGATTTGATTAGATTCATACTTGCTTCATCTATTTTTAACTACCAGAAATAACATAAAAAGAACTACCATAATTACGAGAAATGCTTAAGCCATAAGGGTCAAGCTATGGAGGAAATACAAGGGCGTGCCTTGAGATGGGAACTCAGGTTTAAACATGGGTGTTTCAGGAATCACCGTATTCCGCAACATCTGCAAAGCATCAGTTTAAATGCCTCAACTCAGCCAAATTTGAATCATTAGTAACAGGAAACTATAAAGAAGAAGAAAAGGCGACACACAATGCCTTGTCCGAATGTAACCAGCAAACCCCATAAATTGGCGAAGCCATGATCAAAAAGCAAAACAAAACAAAAAGTATACAGGCAGGCAGTGCACGAAAAAATGAACAATTTCAAGAATAGAACAACCAACAATAGGCATCCAAAGTCACTGATATAACCAAATAGAATGCACAATCCAAACTACAGGAAGTAAAGTGACCATAATTCAAAAGAATATCCTTCATTCCAACTCTAAATGCAACAAGAATATGAAATCAGTTCCAAATTTCCTACATAAATTCCAATAAGAACTCTTCAAATCACAGTACGAACAGATACACACACCTCCGTCATCTTGTTGCTCCTCTTCAAGAAGGAAATAACCGCATGGCCAAGCAATGGAGTCTCTACGATCCACACAAACAGCTTGAGAGCAAATCCTGTGAGGTGAGGAGCTGGGAAAAAAGCAATAAAAAACACACACAGAGACACACAAGCATACCAGCAAATGCGATTGCTCCATTATTTGAACCCGAGGAGAAACACACACCTCACCAGAATAACAGATAAAGAAACAACACCTTCACCAAAATTACACAGAGAGAAACAACAAAAAAAATTAAAATGGAAGAGAGAGAAAGAGAAATGGGCATGGAGAAAGGTCATAGAAGCTTTTACCATGGATGACCTCTGGTTCATATTTGACACATGCAATGTCAACCTGCTCAACGGGGAGCATCACACGTTTTCCCATATTCAAACACTATTAAACTTCAATAAGAAAATGTTCAGATGAGGATGCTGAAACCCTTCCAAGAAGAAGAAGGAGACTTTCGAAGTTGGTAGAGAGGATGATCACGCGATTGTCAATGTTAGAGAGAGAGTGAGAAAATCTAAACAATATAAAACTTCATGACCATTCGGTCCTCTATTTTATAGAGAGAGAGGAGAGGGAGATCGCAAGCACAAATCTAAGCATAAACTTCTCACTCTTTTCTGTCAATCCCAGGCTTTGACTAGATTCATCGAGAGTAACGCTGCTTAGTACACAGCTACTGTAAATGTCTATAACTGAAATGTTTGAAAAGGCGAGGGTAAATAACGTTTAAAATGGTCAACTAGTACAATCGGTTCAAGCAACCATTTGGGTTACTTTTTTAAAAAAACTTTATTTGAGCATATTCGAGAATTTTTTTAAAAGATATTTTAATCTAAAAATTACAAAAAAAATCCCAAGATCTCATTTTCCACGTAACTTACTCCAACGGGCCTTTTTCTCTCACTTTTTTCCTTAAAACAAACTTTTTATGCAAATACTTCCGAAAAAAAAGTTCATTTTTTAGATAGAAATGCGCTTCTTATACACAAAAAATCATTTTGGTCAGATTTTACGTTGACTTTTGGACCCTAGAAGCACATTGTAAGAGCGCACAGTATCCAACATCCCTTTGCAACTAACGAATCGCCCTTTGCAACTGCGGGACTGTTATTTGCAATCACGCCCTTTGCAACTACCAAACCACCGTTTGCAACTGTTAGACCGCCCTTTGCAACTGTCAGACTGCCCTTTACATCCCTTTGCAACTAACGAATCGCCCTTTGCAACTGCGGGACTGTTATTTACAATCACGCCCTTTGCAACTACCAAACCACCGTTTGCAACTGCTAGACCGCCCTTTGCAACTGTCAGACTGCCCTTTACAACGGCTTGCAACTACCAAACCGCCATTGGCAACTGCTAGACCGCTTTGCAACCCCCAAAGGGCCCCTTTTGCAACCACTAAAGGACCCTTTGCAATTGTTGGACCGGCCTTTGCAACTGTCGGACCGCATTTTGTAAACGCGAGACCGCCCTTTGCAAATATCGCCCTTTTCAATTGCCGGACAGCAGAGCCCTACTACCGCACCGCACTTTACACAATGCCAGAGCGTTAGTACCGGACCGCACTTACACAGTGCCGAAGCCAAATATTTTGGTGGGATAGAGGAGAGTACTACCAGATCTCACTTACATGGTGCCGAAGCCCCCTATTTTGGTGGGATAGAAAAGAGTATTACTAGACCGCACTTACACAGTGTCGGAGCCCCCTATTTTGGTGGGATAGAGGAGAGAGACGTGGGTAAGGTAAAAGTAAGTGAGGATAATTTAGATATTTTTTTATTTTTTATTTGGTTGGTTTTTTTTTTTGCATAGAAAGCGTATTTTGAAGAAAAAAGTGAGAGAAAAAGTTAGGTTTTTTTTTTTTGTGTAATTTTCCCTATTTTAAATTGGCCTTGTTTTTGGATTTTTATTTTGGGAAAAGTTTATATATAGCTGAAGCTCTTAACAATCAAATTACAGCCCAGCACAAACCTTTCACTAGAAGGGGTTGTTTTGATGCCCAAATATCCTCAAATTGATCATCTAGACATCAAGATGCATGGATATGAAAAAAAAAAAGGATTTCAAATTTGGAAATACTACATCTTATCACGTATTTTTGGACCGTCGTTTTCAAGTTTTTTCAAGTTTTCATAGATCTGCTCGATCTAAACTATTATTTAAGCTTTAAAATTTATAATTAAAGATGAAAATATATTTTAAGGCTATATCAAAGATTTCCAGTATTGAAACCACTTTCTCGACAAGGTGCATTTTACTTTGATTGTTTTGACCCTCGGCTCTATACAAACCACACCCATAACATTTAAAACAGTCAACCACCTCAATTGATTCAATGAACCATTTGGGTTGATTTTTAAAAAATTTTATCATTTGAGTATTGTCCAATATTTGAGTATTTTCCAAAAAAAATTTAAAGATATTTAAAATTGGCCTCGTGTTTGGATTTTTAACCTTGAGGAAGCCAATATCAGAAACTAACCTAAGTTACTTATGGGTCTGTTTGACAAAACATAATCTAAATATTCAAAATTTTGAAAATATGAGTAATGGTATTGCCGACTTTCCATATATCTGAATTACGTATTAACGTTTTCTTCCCAATCGCTATAAATTTATTGATCTAACTTTGCTTTAACCCTCTAGCGCAGTTATCAGCATCCATATTAGCTTCCCTAAAAACATACTGGAAGGATAGAGATAGGGATTGAGAGATATGTATAATCTCAAACCAAAACGATCTCAACTCCCATGGGATCCTTTGCTTAATATTACACCACTAGATAACATTAAGGGAATCACTTTCAACTATACAGTTAACGTCATACCCCATATGTTTAAAAATACGCAGTCCAGTAAGCAGAGCCACAATTTCAGCATAATTAGCAAGTCTCAACACCAATAGGAGCAGCAAACCACAAGATCGTATTGCCATACCAAATCTCTATCCACCCCTCCTACACTTGTTGGTCCCGGATTTCGAATTGAACTGCCATTAAAATTAACCTTAAACCAACTATGTTGGGGAGTCGCCCAGGAACACCGTGGTCTGGGCTTAACCAACTTAAGATTGGCCGTGCTAGAGAGGTTTAGTAAATATATGTTGATGAGATGCCCCTACTTTCCTTAGTAACCGACAACCAGGACCAAATAGTGCGATGGATAGTACTTAAAACTCTCTTAAAAGGAAGTGCAATCACATCAAAGGTTTTGCGATTTCTCTCTTTCCAAACCTCCTACAACACAACCCCTCGAATTATCATCTACGTGTAATAGCCAACCTTTGGCAAGTCTGGGAATACTAGCTGAGTAATGATTCCCAATATCGATTATGGCAAAATAGTAGACCTACCCAATTGAGAAGAAAACCAAGACCAAATACTTATAACAAAAGGGCGAGATGAGTACCCGATTCGCCATCTGTCTTGCACATAAGACCGACATTCGGTAATATTTCACCCCTTTTATAAGGTTACCAATGGTCAATATTTTATTTTGAGCTGCCAGCCAAATAAAAATTTGGACCTTCTAAGGCACCGACCACTTCCACACTTGCGTTATTTGTATGAGAGACCACCTGTTACGTTTATGGAAAAGTAAACAATGCATGGACTTAACCGTAAAAATACCATCATTTTTCACCTCCCAAATTATCTCATCCTTAGCATTGCTATGCAAAAGTAAACAATACATGGACTTAACAGTATAAATACCATCATTTTTCACCTCCCAAATTATCTCATCCTCAGCATTTCTATGCAAAATAACGTGATTTAAATCTTGAATCAACGTCATTATCCTGGAAGCAAACCCATCACTTACCTGATTATAGGGAAGTCTAAGATCCCAAAATATTTGACCACCATTCCTCTCCTCTAAATCAGAAATTTAGCATAGGGTAGTTGGACTTTTTCAAATATATCAGGATAAACATCTTTAAAAGCTTTATCTCACCACTTATGATTCCAAAGGGCCACCTCAACCACACAGCCTAAGCTCCAACACACATTTTCATCGGTCATTGGTTTGCATAGGGATATAGCCTTCCAACAAAACGATTTATTCAATTCATTCTCGCCAACTCCCTCCCACATCCCATGTCTATTTTGCGGCCAGAACCTTACACCACAATCAACTTGATATATAATATTTTGCAAATGTTTGACTTCTACCGGTATTTTAGAGTTTTCTTCCTATCATTTACTAAAGCTTTTTAACAGTGGAACTAAGGCTCCTGCTTTTTCCAAGGAATTCTTCGAAAGAGGCAATGGCTACCTTTTGGAACTACCAAACCCTATTCATATCTTAAAGATCAAAGCCAAAGGAAACAATGGTTATTTTGAGAACCTCCACTCGCCTCATATTATCTTCCCAATATGAAATCATTTGGATAAGTTTCAGTTCCTCTCTCATGAGCCCCTCTTTCATAAGCAACTGGGTCCTCTTCTCTTATAACTATAGGGCCTCTTATGAAATCTTTTGGATCAAGTTTTAGCTCCTCTCTCATGAACCCCTCTTTCATAAGCAGGGACCTCTTATCATGTAGTTAAAGGGCTTGTCAATTTTCTAATATAAAATTTTGGAGCCCTTTTGAAGTCATCTCTTCACAAAATTTCTTTAGATGAGGTCTTGGGTCAATTCCTTGTGACCCAAATCAGGTGTCTTAGAATCTTGCTTTTCAACCTGGGAGAAACATCTACCTTCCTAATTTTTTATTTGTCAATAATATATTCCATCTATTACTTCTTGTGAGCATTTTCAATGGCCATCTGTTTTTTAACACACACTAATGAAGCTTCTTTTACTGCTTCTTGTTTTTCAAGAATTTGTTTCGCTTCTGTGGAATACTTGTCATCTTTCATAATTGAAAACTCCAAAATCCAATTTTAGAGTGATAGAAAGGAGCCAATTGCAGAGAGAAAAGAGAGGATATGTTTTGTTGCTTAGACTTATAGGGGCCTATATTAATTAGCATTTCTGAGAAGAGGGAACTCTATGGTTGATAAGTTTTCCAAAGCCGGGTGATTTCAAGGAGTTTTGGAGAGCTAGGGTTAGGGTTCGGGAGATGGGAGGGTAAGACTCGAGTTTTAGAGAGGCTAAGCCCATAATGGACATGGGTTTGTTGGGGAAGTGGAGAGAATATCATCTTTGACTTGAAAGACGGAGAATTACATCCCGAATTTCGATAAGTGTGCGTTATCTTAATATTAAAAAATATTGTTTTGGTCAATCAAACAGGTCAATGGCTCTCATCATATCTTTTAAGATCAAAATTATTTAAGATTCTACAATATCCTAAAATATTAGGATATCATGGGGTTGCCAAATATACCCTAAGTTACTAGATCTAAATTACCTAAATACTTTTAGATATCACTAACTAAACTTAAGTTACTGGATCTAAATACTCCTGCTCGTACAAGATTTCAATTGTGAGGCATATTTTTCATTAGAAAACCTTGCATGGTGTTAGAACCCTGGAACAAGTGAGAGCGCAGTTTTTCCCCACTTAAGTCACTCAAGCCTAAGTTTATGAATACCCCTACTTGTTTATAGTTCTGAACTTGAAACAAATTATTCTGAACTTGAAACAAAAATTTTAATACAAAGAACATATTCTTGGTTTGAAGCTCAAAATAAAGAGTATTTGAGTCAATCTGACTAAGT